CCATATAACCATTAAACAACTCCCCATTTCCTCCTCCTCCCAACCCCTAGCAACCATCATTCTACTTTCTATTTCTATGAATTTGACCACATTGTGGAGTCTACAATGTCTGTCTTTTGGTGACTGGCTTATTTCACTTGGCCTTATGCCCTCAAGGTTCGTCCATGTCATACTATGTGTTAGAATTTCCTTTCTTTCTAAAGCTGAACGCTTTCCCATTGTATTTATAGACCACATTTCCCTTACCCTTTCTTCATCCTTACATACTTGGGTTGCTTCCACCTCTCAGGTTCTGTGCTGCTAGGGACATGGTGTGGCCTTTGTTATTACAGAGCAGGCTACCTTAAGGTCATCGAAAACAGAAGACTTGGCTCGGCACCTGTGGCTCAAGTGGCTAAGGCACCAGCCACATACACTTAAGGTGGCGGGTTCAAATCCAGCCCGCCTCGCCAAAACAACAATGACGGTTGCAACCAAAAAATAGCCAGGCGTTGTGGCGGGCGCCTGTGGTCCCAGCTACTTGGGAGGCGGAGGCAGGAGACTCGCTTGAGCCCAGGAGTTGGAGGTTGCTGTGAGCTGTGATGCCACAGCACTCTACCCAGGGGGACAGCTCAAGGCTCTGTCTCAAAAAAAAAAAAAAAAAGAAAACAGAAGACTTTACCCTCTGTCTAAGTCACTATATACAACTGAGAAAATTTACCAGACTTTTGTTCAAAACCTTTTTCAAATTTGCATCTCTGGGATCTAGAAGTAATTTTTCCCCCAATCCTTCAAAACCTCATCAAATGAGCAATTATTTCCTATGCTCATCTCTTTCCTGTAGTTCTTTGCCAGAGGAAATTTTTCATGTCAGAGTCTGATGTGGATTGAGGGAGAGATGGTGTGCTCCAAATAATCACTCAGGGTCCACACTCTTTCCCTGTAGGGCAGCAGTTCTCAACCTGTGGGTCATAACCCACAGGAACTGTAAAAGGGCCACAGCATTAGGAAGGTTGAGAACCACTGCTCTAGGACCTATCCTCTTCCATACTCCACTGATGAACAGTAAGAAACGGATTGCACCAGAAGGCTTTTAGGGGCCAGACCTAAGAGTAATATATGTTCTACACACATTCCATTGTCCAGAATTCTTATTATAGTCTTATTCAGGCGTCCTCAAACTACGGCCTGTGGGCCACATGCAGCCCACCTAGGACATTTATCCGGCCCGCCAGGTGTTTTTGCCACCACTGCCTGTCCTGCTTAGCAGCCAACTTGTCCTGGGGCCCACAGTCCGGCCCTCCAACGGTCTGAGGGACAGTGAACTGGCCTCCTGTTTAAAAAGTTTGAGGACCCCTGGTCTTACTTAACCGGAAGGAGTATAGGGAAAGAAAACAAGGGTTTGTGAACATAGGACAGTCACAGCTATAGGCTGGAGCTAAATTTGGAAGTACCAACATATAGGTGGTGACAACAGATACGAGTAAAGATGGGAATCATCCCACAAAGATTGTAATGCATAGGGGACCTTCATAAGAACAAGGGCACTTTTTGGAGGGTCTGTACTGGTAAAAATAACTTATGTAACCTAAGCTTACAGTGTTTAGAAGAGTTACTATAATGTTTGTAGAAAGGTTTAAATGTGTGGATTAAATAAACGGAAAAGTATCTTTTTCAGAAACTGGGGTGTGTCCACTCTTTGAAATTATGCAGGAAAAATATATATCAGCATCATTTTGTTGTGACTTTTGAAGCCTATAAGCATGAAATCACTCTGAATTTCAGAAATACTGAATTAAGGTTTGTTTTTTTATTTGTCATTTAATGCACATTTATTAAGCATTTAATATGTGCCAGGCAGTGGCATATATTAAGCTTACAACATAAGTCACAGTCCCTGAAAGAAGATCAAGTTTAGTTGGAAAAAAATAAGGCCAGTAAATAGGTACCTAAACACCAGGCAGACTCTCTGAGACCATAGGAATTGCACACCTGAAATGTTACAAACCACAGGAGAGACTGGAAGGGGAGGAGCATTGATCTTGAGCCCAGTATACCTAGGTTTGAGGCTCAGCTCTGTTGCGCAGTGTAACCGTGGGGAAGTTAATGTCTCTGAGCTTACCTTTCAGGTTGCCATGGTTAGGTGTAATCTGTGTAAGCCTAATAGAGTGTTGGTACTACTTGGTAGGTATTTTTATTAACATTATTGAAGAAGGTGGAGTTCATATTGGATGGAAAAATAAGTTACTTTATTCTAACTCATGCGGCCATTCATTCAGTAGTTAGTTAGTTAAACCACTACTACACATAAATGTTTAGGATTAGACTGTGTGTGTGTGTGTGTTTGCCGAAGTCCTGTTCTGTTTTTAACAGAAATGTTCATCTCCAGCCACCAAGCTTACATACTGCTTTCCTCCCTCTCATTTGCCCAGAGCCCACCCTATCCCTCTGGGCACTGCTGCTGTCCCCCTTCTTTGCTGCAGGGATCTGCCCCACTTATTATCCTGTATCGTTGCTTCCCTGCCCACTCTCCTGATTTTCATTACTGCCATTACTACTGACTTCACCTAAGGCAGCCTTTTCCTTCACATACGCTCCCTTAGCCCCCTTTCTTACACTTCCTCTCTCTTTGTTTGTTTATTTTTGGAGAGACAGTCTCATTCTTTGGCTAGAGTGCTGTGGCATCACAGCTCACAGCAACCTCAACTCTTGGGCTCAAGTGATCCTCATGCCTCAGCCTCCTGAGTTGCTGGGACTACAGGCACCCACCAGCATGCCTGGCTAAGTTTTCTGTTTTGCTACAGGCTGGTCTGAACTCCTGTGCTGAGGTGATCTTCTCACCTTGACATCCCAGAGTGCTAGGATTAAAGGTGTGAGCCATGGTGCCCAGCCTCTTACACTTATTCTTTCCATTTTTCCCCCCAATTGCCTCAGGAATAATTACTACCTTCTTTCTGTCTTTGTTCATTTTCCTTCTTATATCAAGGAGATATCAAACATTATTTTCCTTGTAGCTATCCGGATGTCTCTGCTGGTATTGACTCTAACATTGACTAAGGATTCCTTGTACACCTGCCATCTGGCGGGTGCTTTGTCGAGCCTGCTCATCCCTCAGAAGTTCTATTGCAAACTACCTGGTTGTGGGGACCAGCTACACACCTTTTTTTAATTCTCAGTATAGTCCTGTGCACACAGGAAATGCCTTACAAATATCTGTTGATCAAAAAGAAGAACCTTATCTAGCTGAAAATAACTTTTAAAATATAATTTTATATGCACATACATTGTTTTGTTGCCAATATTACAAGTTTTTTTTATGATAAATGCAAATATTTTCACTTTGGTGTGGTTTAAATGTATTTTTGTTAGGAGCCATTAGATTAGATTAGTTAGGAGCCATTTATTACATTATTTTATGGCAAACTGGATTCCGAGTTTTAAACAACTGCTTTTACAAAAGCCATTTGGCACATAAGTGGTAAGATGTGGATTGTCTATTCAGAATTTTTCCCTTTAACTGATATTTAAAAGGGGATTTCGTTTCTGATAAAAATGGCCTTTGTTTGACTTTCTCTTACTTGACGAGTGTCTTCTTGTGCAATTTGCCACAAATAAAGATTCTCAAATTTTTTCAGCCTCAGGGAATGAAGTAGCAGAGCCTATTGAAGACAGATCCAGGATTAGCAGATGTGGCACACATGCTAACATCTCAGGGCCATAACTTCTGAGAGGCATACATCCCACTGGAACCCAGAATGGGCAGCAAGGACAGGGCACACAAGTTTATAGATAAAAATTTTGACAGTGAGTAAGTTTGCCATAGTATTTTGAGGACTTGCCCCTCAATTATTTTAAAATACGTTACATCACATTCATCCCTGTCCTGCCACTGCTCCATTTAGGACTTTGGCTCCTCCCTGTCTCTCCCCTGCACTGGCATCCCACCCTGTCTGCTGCCCACAGAACCTCCCCGGCCAGCCCTGGCCAAGCCCAGGCCCCTTCAGGCTTCTTTTCACAGCTGCTCCTCAGAAACTCAAAGCCAAATCAATCCTTTTATTTCCTGATTTCCTTTTCCTTTCTCTCTCATTTCTTGATATTTAGAAAAATAAAAAGAAGTTAATACAAAGGTTTTGTTGCTGTCCATTCTCTAAAGTCGTCCTCACCCCCTACCCTCAGCCCCTCTACAAATGTATGTCTCCACTTAGAAAAAGCCGGATCCAGTTCAGAATGTCCATCCACATAGATGAATACACATCATCTTTATTTATCCTGGAAACTTTACTTTTACAGAATTTACCATGTGCCACCTTGTATTACATTATAGCTGGTCGATTTCAAGCTGCTTAAGAATAGTATTCATGTTTGGTCTGATTTTGAGTCTCTCTTAGCACTTAGCAGAGGGTTCTGCTCATATTAGCAGCATAAAAAGTGTTTACGGAACAGTGAACTTCTCTTTGAGATGGACTAGTGTCAAGTCCTCTGTTTGAACATGGTGTTTGTGATATGCTTTTGTATCATTTCACATTTTCTTTTTTTGGCTGGGGCTGGGTTTGAACCTGCCACCTCCGGCTTATGGGGCTGGTGCCTTACTCCTTTGAGCCACAGGTCCCGCCCCCCCATTTCACATTTTCATTCACAGGAGTTTCTAAATTTTCAAGGCTCAAGAACTGCCTCTTTTTTTTTTGAGACAGAGTTCCACTATGTCGCCTGCGGTAGAGTACCATGGCGTCACAACTCAAGCAACCTCAAACGCTTGGGCTTAAGCAATTCTTTTGCCTCAGCCTCCTAAGTAGCTGGGACTATAGGTGCTCATCACAATGCCTGGTTATTTTTTGTTGCAGTTGTCATTGTTGTTTTAGCTGGCCCAGGCTAGGTTCGAACCTGCCAACTTTGGTGTATGTGGCTGGTGCTGTAACCACTGTGCTGTCGGCACTGAGCCAAGAACTGCCCCATTGGATTAACAAGTTTAATCATGCTTTTTATTTAAATCTCACAGTGAACTGTGCCCTCTCTCTTGGTAGTCTCGTGTGCAAGCTGAACACAAGGACCACCATCCTGGCAGCAACTAACCCCAAAGGCCAGTATGATCCCCAGGAGTCTGTGTCTGTGAACATCGCCCTCGGCAGCCCACTCCTGAGTCGATTTGACCTGATCCTGGTTTTACTTGATACCAAGAATGAAGACTGGGATCGTATCATTTCCTCCTTTATCTTAGAAAATAAAGGTACATAGAGACAAACAACATCATTCAAAGTGACAAAAAGAGATTAGATGTAACTAAAAGAAATTCCTTTTAGCCACTGCAAAACTAGTCAACTCCCATCTATAACTGTTACGTTTCTAGTGCTGCTTTGTCCGGAGAGAACATTATAGTTTACTACACTTGGTCTGTAAATGACTGATTCTTTGTCATTTTAGGAATAAAGTATGTGGTTAATTTAAAGAAGAACTTTCAATGTAAACATCATATTAAGATATAACTTTTTTCAGAAGAGTAATAGAATTGCTGATTCATAGTAAAAATCTTGTATTTATCCTGTGTGAATTGGACTCCAGAAGAAAAAAAATCTTGCTTTTAGCTCTGAAAAAAATAAATAAAGAAAATTCTGTTTGGAGAAGATTAGATAAATACCCAGCATACGCTATGTAATAGGCAACAGTGAGGTGCTTAGACATAAAGCAGTGAGTGAGAGTAGCCCGTGGGCCCCAGAGTGCTGAGTGGAAGGAAGAGGGTCATTCTCGACCAGCCACTGATGAGGTTGTAGTTGTTCGATATGTCCCTTGTGATGAAAGGGGGAAGCCTTATGATAGAGAATTATTGCTTACCTCTTATTCAAAAAGAAAACTGGACTAAATTATGGAACAGAAATCTCTAAATGTGGACATCTCTTCAAGTTACATTTATTCAAGTATAATTTATTACCATCAGGTAACAAATTAATAATTTTAAACCCTGTAGGAAGCTTAACGTTATTTAGCTTAGATCAAAAGACTGCTTTTTCTTGAACTGTATGCTATACAGAGAACAGATCTAGATTTCAATAGCCATAAAAATCTAAAGATTATCCTTTAAACAATGAGTATAAGAACTTTATAAAAATTATTAAAATGAGATGATTGCCTTATCTTTGAAATTACTGACCCACTACCTGATATACACAGGTTACCCAAGCAAATCCGAGAAGCTCTGGAGCATGGAGAAGATGAAAACCTACTTCTGCCTCATTAGGAACCTGCAGCCCTCCCTGTCTGACGTGGGTAATCAAGTTCTTCTCCGGTACTACCAGATGCAAAGGCAGAGTGACGCCCGGAATGCTGCTCGGACAACCATCCGCCTATTGGAAAGCTTGATACGATTGGCAGAAGGTTTGTTCCATTCAACAAATGACACTTTCACTGAATGTCTGCTTTGTGCAAGGCATGGAGCTTGGCACTGTGGAATCTAAGATGAGTGTAAATATCCCCTAGTCTAACAGTCACTTAAAAAGTGATGGCTTTGAGCCATGAGACATTGTCTGCTCTTCTTTTTTAAAATTATATTTCAGATTAACATAAGGGAACATATGATTAGGTTATATCATTTGCATTTGCTAGGTAAGATGCAAGTTGTACTTGAGCCCTTCACCCAGGAGGTATACCAGATACCCCTACATTGTTTCTGTTAGGTGAGAGCTTACCACATCCCCTCCCCTTACCACCTTCTGCCTCCTCCCTCCTTCCTTAGTTTGTGTTTTTCTCTTCATATGGGGGTGTGGTTATTCATTTGCTAGTTTCATATTAGTATTGAATACATTGGATGCTTGCATCTCAATTCTTGTGATACTTTACTTAGGAGGGTACTCTCCATATCCTTCCAGGTAAATACAAAAGATGTAAAGTCTCCATCTTTATTATGGCTGAATAATATTCCATGGTGTACATACACCAAAGTTTATTTATCCATTCTTGAGTTGATGGGCACTTGAGTTGTTTTCATATCTTGGCGATTGACAATTGAGCTGCAAAAAACATTCTAGTGCAAATGTCCTTATGGTAAAATTATCATTATACTTAGTGATGGGATTGTGGGATCAAATGAAAGGTTAACTTTTAGCAATTTGAGGACAGATTATGCACATTGAGTGGAGGCAGTGTCATTAGAAAGCAGGGTCTTTGTGACATCTCAGGACCTCTCACAACTTAAGATATCATTCCTCTAAAGTGTTTGTTCTCATGTTTGGTTTCTCAGTTGTACCTCTGTTAGCATGTTGAGTGGGATTGTTTCTTATTTGAAATTGTTTCCCATATAGTGTCTTGGTCTTGCTCAGTAAGTACCAAGCTATAACCCCCCCAATCATTATACTAAGCAAATTAACAATGCCACGCCCTATCCCATCACTGTGGTATAAGGCTTACATGTACACACATGGTGAATATATGTCTCAAACTTTGAGATAAACTTAATAAAAAATACTGTAAAACAAATGGACTTCACTTTCTCAAGGCTTTATAGCTACTATTAGGGCAAGTAACAGGCTTGTTAGTAGGTAGCTTTGAAAAGCTTATAGATCATAGGTAAAGAGAAGTGTCAGAGGTGAGAAATGAGTTTGAATTTTGTGTATTTCTATAGAAAATTACAAAGTGAGGATTAAAAGGTGCTGAATGTTAAATATATGTTTATACAGCTCCTTTCTTTGCTAGAGCCCAGAATATTTTTATATATAAATATACAAAATTGCATGAGCTGTGCAGAAGGGTTAGCCCATTATAGAAACAACCACAAGGCCAGTTGAACATCAGCTTTTATGCTTGTACTTGAAAAATAAATTTGTTGTTAGTAGCTCATTCATCAAATCCACCTGGGGGGTCAGGTAGAGATTTACATTTATCACTTCAAATATTCCTTAAAAACAAACATGTTTTATTTTCTCAGCGCATGCTCGTCTGATGTTTCGTGATACTGTGACCCTGGAAGATGCTATTACAGTGGTGTCAGTAATGGAGTCCTCAATGCAGGTAGAGATATGTGCATACCTAATATTTGCAATAATTACAAACTTTCTTAAGAAAAGATACACGTTATTAACATAGCAAGAATTAAAAGAAGGGCGATGCCTGTGGCTCAAGGAGTAGGGCACTGGCCCCATATACCCAGCCCTGGCCAAAAACTGCACAAAAATAAGTAAATAAATAGATTGTGCCTCAGCTGTTAGGCAACTGTTAAAAAAAAAGAAGAATTAAGAGAAGAAAATGTTCTGGAGACATTACTGTTTTGGTGGCATTGCATTGCCTATTCGTATAATGTAGGAGTCTCAGTCCCTTCTTTCTTCTACACACCTGTAGTAGTTCATGGCCCCACTGGTAACAGCATGACTCCCTGGAGCATCAGTGCCTCTAAGAACTAGGGGAGAGAATGAACAAATTTTGATGAAGCCTCCCGGGTGATTCTGATGCCCAAGGTAGGGGTGTAGAGGGTGGTCCCCGGTGTGTACGGCCACTGTGTCTGCCTGCTGACTCTCCCTGGTATTTTCTTACCCCGGCAGGGAGGTGCACTGCTGGGAGGTGTGAATGCTCTCCATACTTCCTTCCCTGAAAACCCCCGGGAGCAGTACCAGAGGCAGTGTGAACTTATTCTGGAAAAGCTGGAGCTGCAGAGCCTCTTGAGTGAAGAGCTTAGAAGACTTGAAAGGTGAGGAAGGAAATCTAGGAAAGGCATTTAATGGAGAATCCTTGTTTGGCAGTTAGTGAAACAGAGGAAGTGTAAATTAAGTGAAAAATCTATCTGTAAGGGACTCTTTCAGTTACCTATTCCTGTAAAATCAACCACTCTACAATTCAGTGGCTTAAAAGAAAACACTGTTTTAGGGCTCACTTTCCTAGGAGTCAAATTCAGGAGATAGCTCTTCTCTGTTCTACAAATTGGCTGAGGTAACAACTCGAGAATGACAGAAGCAACTTTTCAAAACTTGCCTTTCTCATGACTTGTTGAAATGTGACTAACAGACAGGAGAACATATGGGAAGGAACACATCACGTGCATTAGTAAGAACATGGACTCATTATGTACCTAAAGAATTTTTGCCTGAACTTTAATGTTGGCATGGTCCTAAAATACATGAGCTTCTAAAGCTAGGCTTTGAGTCTGCACCTGAAAAACCGGCATGAGGAGTGGCAAGTCTGTTTGTCTGGGTACCTTCCTGATCAGTGCGTGCAGCTTCCTAACCTGCATTTGGTTGTCAGTGTTAACCGGAAACTGGGGGCTGGTGGAGGAGTGCATGTGGAAGGTGGGCCTGCAGAAGAGGGTTGGAAGCTACACTGGGGTAATTGGCCATAAAAGTAAAGCCTTGAGAATCCTCCCATGTCTTGGCAGCATTCTCCTAATTCACAAAGTCTCAGCATAGCCTTCCTGGGGAAGTGTGGGGACTGGCTTTATTCTGCTGACACCCAGGCTCTAGACTGCAATAAACATGTACTTTGTATACTTCACCCCCCCCCCCCTTTCTTGTGGCCTTCTGGCTCTCTTTATGATCCAGAGAATGGTGCTCAGATCAAGGTTATTTCTTTGTGTCCTTTATGATTTGATATAGCTGAGCCCTTTCAAGCCACTCCTGGGTGTGGCTTTGCCTTTGGGTAAGCTCCGGATTTTGACTGGTTCAACCTGCCAGGAACTGACACATGATAGATTCCAGAAAGGAGGGAATATGAGGCTCAGAACCATTGTCGTGTGTTAGAAAAAAAGCATTTGGACTTTCCAAATTCAAAGTGACCCTCCTGGAGGGAGAAAGGAATGAGAAAAAGGAGAAGAGTATGTGAAAACTTAAAAGATAAGATACTGCCTTAAAATTCTATCCTACTGGTGTTTCCTTGTTATATAAAGGCAAGTTCTAGGGTTGATCTTCAAAGCAACAAAACCAGATGTGCAAATCAAAGTGAATTACCTTTAATACATAATCTGATGGTGGTGCCTGCAGCTCAGTGGGTAGGCTGCTGGTAACATACCCCAAGGCTAGGGGGTTTGAACCCGGCCCCAGCCAGCTAAGACAACAATGGTAACTGCAACAACAACAACAAAATAGATGGGTATTATGGCGGGTGCCTGTAGTCCCAGCTACTTGAGAGGCTGAGGCGAGAGAATCTCTTAAGCCTAAGAGTTGCTACCCAGGGAGATTCTGTCTCAAAAAACAACAACAAACAAACAAAAAAAGTAAGCATATGGGTTTTTACCTTTTAAGAAAGAGTTCTTTATTCCTTAAGGAAATCACATAATTATAATGAAAAGTATTAATATTTTTATCACACTTTTCTTCCAGAAAATACTAGTGATAATTTGACAGAGTGCAAAGATTTTAGAAATGTGTAGAGATTTTATTTAATTTAAAAAATTAATTCAGGAAAATTTAATTCCTGAAATAAAAGTCAGACTAAAATAATAGGGCTAATCTAAAATAATAACCCTAACTTAGTTTCATGTTTTAGGACATTGTTATAAACTTTAATAGTTAATGAGTGTCGGAGTTGGTGCATGATGGCGAATGGGATAGATGTTTAGCTAAGCTCTCCTGGAACAACAGAATAAGGGGAAGCTGGGGATGATGGCTGCCTGGAGCCAGCTTTCAACAGAAGCTCCAATCCAGAGGGAGAGATAATGGCCAGAAAAAAAACAAACAAAGCTGAAGGGTGGGAGCTGAGCTGAGAGAAGAAATAGATAATTGCACATTTTCTCTGCTGAGGCAAGCTGCGACTCCAAGGAAACAAATTTCAGCTGAGATTTCAACCCAGAGTCACTGATTCACTAGGATTGGACAGAAAGCAGCTGAATACAAGACAGAGCCACCTAGCACCACCACACCAAGCAGGTCTCCAGAGTCTTAGGCTGTAGTACGGAAGGGGTCCTTTGCAAAGCTGTAGGGGAAAACCTGCAGACACCATTCCCAGCTCTTTGGCAAAGGGCTGGTTAACCACAACTCCAGAAGCCTATCCAATTTCACCTTACCTGCTCATCTAGCCAAATGTGAAAAACAATCATGGGGCAGAATTGGTGGAAAAACTCTGGCAACATGAATAATCAGAGCAGATCAACTCCCCCAAAGCAGCCACACTAGAGGATCCCATTCATAAATAAATGGCTAAGATGTCAGAAATTGAGTTTTGAATTTGGATGGCAAATAAGATTAACAGAATGGAAGTAAAGTTGGAATTAGAAATTCTAGGAATAATTCAAAAGTTGTCTCAAGAATTCAGTGAATTCAAAAACAGAATCACCAAAGATTTTGACACATTCAGAAAAGAAGTTGCAGCCTTCCAAGATATGAGAAATATAGTGGAATCCTCAGTAACAGAATGGAGCAGGCAGAAGAAAGGATTTCAGACATTGAAGACAAAACTTTTGAACGCTCCCAAATGTTCAAAGAGGAAGAGAAGTGGAGAGCAAAAATGGATCATTCTCTCAGAGAGCTCTGGGATAATTCCAAGAAAACTAATATTCACCTTATAGGAATTCCTGAAGGTGATGAGGTTGCTTCGAATGGCCCAGATGCTCTACTCCAAGAGATAATTGAGGACAACTTTCCAGACATTGCAAGAGATTCTGAAATTCAGACAGCAGACAATTTCAGAACCCCAGCACAATTCAACCAAATAAAGCATCTCCCAGACATATTATAATTAATGTCACCAAAGTTAATGTGAAGGAGAAAATGCTGCTAGCAGCCAGACATAAGAAAACTATAACCTACAAGGGGAAGAATATTAGAATGACTGCAAATCTCTCTGCTGAAACTTTTCAGGCCAGAAGAGTATGGTCATCTCCCTTCAGCCTCCTCAAACAAAACAATTTTCAACCCAGGATCCTGTGTCCAGCTAAACTGAGTTTCATTTATGATGAAGAAATTACTTTAGTGACATTCACATGCTGAAGAAATTTGCCATAACTAAACCAGCTTTCCAGGATATTCTCAGACCCATCCTCCACAATGACAAGCACAATTTTTTACTACCATAGTAAACTCACTCAGAAATTTTTCATCAAATCCCAACTTCAACAGTGGTAAAAGGATTAAAAATGTTCACTGGACTTTTGAAAAATTCGACTCCCAAAATACTACCAGGCTTATCACTACTCTCAATTAATGTGAATAGCTTAAATTGCCCTCTAAAGAGGCACAGTTTGGCTGACTACATACAAAAACTCAGGCAATATATAGACTCAGGGTGAAGGGATGGTCATTTATAATTCAGGCAAATGGAAATCAGAAAAAAGCAGGCGTTGCGATTTTATTCACAGATAGACTAGGCTTTAAACCAGCAAAAGTAAGGAAAGATAAGGATAGTCACTTCATATTTTTTAAGGGAAACACTCAACATGATGAGATTTCAATTATTAATATTTATGAACCCAACCAGAATGCTCCTCAATTTGGAAGAGAGACTCTGACATGAGCAACTTGATTTCCTCCAACTCTAACACCCCTTTGGCTGTGTTGGATAGATCCTCTAATAAGAAACTAAGCAAAGAAATCTTAGACTTAAACTTAACAATTCAACAATTGGATTTAACAGACATCTACAGAACATTTCATCCTAACAAAACTGAATACACATTCTTCTCATCAGCACATGGAACATCCTCCAAAATTGATCACATCTTAGGTCACAAGGCTAACCTCAGCAAATTTTGAAAAACAGAAATTATTCCTTGTATCTTCTCGGACCATCAGGGAATAAAAGTTGACCTCAGTAACAACAGGAATCTGCAAATTCACACAAAGACATGGAAACTAAATCATATGCTAAATGATAGCTGGGTCATAGATGAGATTAGGAAAGAAAATTACCAAATTTTTGGAACAAAATGATAATGAAGACACAAATGACCATAACCTGTGGAATGCTGCAAAGGCAGACCTAAGAGGGAAATTTATAGCATTGCAAGCCTTCCTTAAGAAAACGGAAAGAGAGGAGATCAGCAACTTAATGGGATATCTCAAGCAACTGGAAAAGGAAGAACATTGCAACCCCAAACCCAGCAGAAGAAAAGAAATAACCAAAATTGGAGCAGAATTAAATGAAATTGAAAATGAAAGAATTATACAACAGATCAATGAATCAAAAAGTTGATTTTTTGAACAACTCAATAAAATTGATAAACCTTTGGCTAACCTAACCAGAAATAAAAGCATAAAATCTTTAATTTCATCAATCAGAAATGACAGAGACAAGATAATCACAGAATCCGCAGAAATTTAAAAGATCCTTAACGAATATTTCAAAAAACTCTATTCTCAGAAATATGAATATCTAAAGGAAATGGACCAATACTTGGAAGTATGCCACCTTCTTAGACTTAGCCAGGAAGAAGTGGAAATGTTAAACAGGCCTATATCAAGTTCTGAAATAGCATCAACTATACAAAATCTTCCCAAAAAGAAAAGTCCAGAACCAGATGACTTCACATCAGAATTCTGCCAAACCTTTAAAGAGGAACTAGTACCTACATTACTTAACCTTTTCTAAAACATAGAAAAAGAAGGAGTACTTCCCAACACATTCTATGAAGCAAACATCTTCCTGATCTCCAAACCCAACAAGGAAAAGACCCAACAAGAAAAGAAAATTAGAGACCAGTATGTCTAATGAATACTGATGCAAAAATATTCAGTAAGATCCTAGCAAACAGAATCCAGCAACACACCAAACAAATTATACACCACAACCAAGTGTGTTTTATTCCAGAGTCTCAAGGCTGGTTCAATATATGTAAATCTATAAATATAATACATCACATAAACAAATTAAAAAACAAAGACCATATGAGTCTCTCAATTGACATAGAAAAAGCCTTTGATAATATCCAGCATCCTTTTAAGATCATAACACTTAAGAAAATAGGGATAGAAGGGACATTTCTTAAACTGATAGAGGCCATCTACAGCAAACCCACAGCCCATATTATATTGAATGGAGTAAAATTGAAAACATTCTACTCATATCAAGAACCAGGCAAGTTTGCCCACTGTCTCCACTGCTTTTTAACATTGTAATGGAAGTCTTAGCCATCTCAGTCAGGCAAGAAAAGGCCATCAAGGGTATCCATATAGGCTCAGAGGAGATCAAACTTTCACTCTTTGCAGATGATATGACTGCATATCTGGAAAACCCCATGGACTCAACTACAAAACTCTTAGAAGTGATCAAGGAATACAGCAGTGTCTCAGGTTACAAAATCAACACTCATAAATCTGTAGCATTTATATATACCAACAATAGTTAAGCTGAAAAAAAAAACAGTCAAGGACTCTATTCCTTTACAGTAGTGCCAAAGAAAATGAAATATCTGGGAGTGTACCTAACAAAGGACATGAAAGATCTCTATAAAGAGAACTATGAAACTCTGAGAAAAGAAACAGCCGAAGATGTCAGCAAATGGAAAAACATACCATGCTCATAGCTGGGAAGAATCAACATTGTTAAAATGTCCGTACTACCCAAAACAATCTACAGATTTAATGGAATCCCTATTAAAGCACCTCTGTCATACTTTAAAAATCTGGAAAAACAAGTACTTCATTTTATATGGAAACAGAAAAAACCTTGAATAGCTAAGACATTACTCAGAAATAAAAACAAATCAGGTGGGATCATGTTAACAGACTTCAGACTATACTATATATCTATAGCAATCGAAACAGCATGGTACTAACAAAAATAGAGAGGTAGATGTATGAAACAGAATTGAGAACCAAGAGATGAATCCAGACACTTACCATCATTTGATCTTTGATAAACCTATCAAAAACTTAAATTGGGGGAAAGAACAAATGGTGCGAGATGAATTGGCTGGCGGACTTGTAGAAGACTGAAGCTGGACCCACACCTTTCACCTCTAACAAAAATTAACTCTCACTGGATAAAAGACTTAAACTTAAGACATGAAACCATAAAGATTTTTGGAAAGAGTGCAGGGGAAACACTTGAAGAAATTGGCCTGAGAGAAAACTTTATGAGGAGGACCCCAGGGTAACTGAAGCAATACCAAAAATACATTACTGGGATCTGTTCAAACTAAAAAGCCCTGCACTGCCAAGAACACAGTAAGTAAGTAAAGCAAGTAGTCTGCCCTCAGAATGGGAGAGGATATCTGCAGGTTACATTTCTGACAAAGGTCTGATAAGCAGAATCCCCAGATAACTCAAACTTATTAATAAGAAAAGAGCAAATGATCCCATTTTACCATGGGCAAGAGGCTTGAACAGAAGCTTCTCTGAAGAAGATAGTTGTATAGTCTACAAGCATATGAAAAAAAATGCTCATCATCTTTAATCATTAGAGAAATGCAAATCAAAACCACTTTGAGAGATCATGTAACTCCAGGAAGAATAGCCCACATAACAAAATCCCAAAACTACAGATGTTGGCATGGATATAGAGAAAAGGAATCACTTCTGCACTGCTGGTAGGAATGCAAGCTAATACATTTCTTTGGGAAAGAAGTTTAGAGAACACTCAGGGATCTAAAAATACACCTGCCTTTGGATCCTGCAGTTCCTCTACTAGGAGTATATCCAGAAGATCAAAAATCACTTTGCAAGAAGGATATTTGCACCAGATTATTCATTGCAGCTCAATTTGTAATGGTTAAGTCATGGAAGAAGCCCAAGTGCCCATTGACCCATGAATGGATTAATAAATTGTGGTATATGTATACCATGGAGTACTATGTAGCCTTAAAAAAGATGGAGACTTCATCTCTTTTATGTTTACATGTATGGATCTGGAACATATTCTATATAAAGTATCTCAAGAATGGAAGAAAAAGTATCTAATGTACTCAGTACTTCTATGAAACCAATTTATATTTACTGACACTTTCTTATGAAAGATAGATCACAACTATAGCCCAGTATGAAGGAGAGAAATGGAGTGGGAAGGGAGGGGAGAGGGGAGGTTTGATAGAAGGAGGGTAAATGGTGAGACCACACCTATGGAGCATATTGCAAGGGTATAAGTCAAATCTATCAAATATAGAATATAAATATCTTAACACAGTAATCAAGTAAATGAGGCAGGCTCGGCACCTATAGCTCAACCGGCTAAGGCGCCAGCCACGTACACCTAAGGTGGCGGGTTCGAATCCCCAGCCCGGACCCGCCAAACAACAATGACGGCTGCAACCAAAAATTAGCCGGGCGTTGTGGCGGGCGCCTGTGGTCCCAGCTACTTGGGAGGCAGAGGCAAGAGACTCACTTGAGCCCAGGAGTTGGAGGTTGCTGTGAGCTGTAATGCCACGGCACTCTACCCAGGGGGACAGCTTGAGGCTCTGTCTCAAAAAAAAAAAAAAAAAAGTAAATGAGGCAAAAACTATATTAATTAGTTTGATATAAGCACTCCAAATTGTATAAAAAAAATGAACACATTGTACACCACTTATGCATAAATGTATTCATGATCTATGTGTATATGACTTAATGAAAAATAATAATGAATGTCCCTAAATTTGATGCTGAAAAGTATACTAGATAATAGTAATTTCCAGACCTATTTGCTTTTTGTTTGATCATAACTCAAATTAATAACAAGGAACATACATTTGCTATATTGGTATTTGCAAATCCGTAAATGAAAATAACCTAATATTTGTATAATGATTTTGTATTTTTCTTACAAGGGTAATGGTCTTTATAGAGTATTTTGAAAAGTAGTAGTAATTAATTTATAAGAAATTAAAAATCATATGTAATCTTATTTCCCATGGATACATACCATTAACATTTTGATGTATTTACATATGTTTAAATGCAACATTTTTCTTTGTATTTTCTATGATTACACATGAATTTTAGAATGATTTACTTCTCTACTTGTTTGTATAATTTATTTTCATAGTACATGGAAGAGGGGTCCTATCTCACTCTATGATGAAAATACATTTCTAGGTTGTTAGGACAGGCTTTCTTTTAAAGAACCTACTTTTAGCAAACTACAATCACTTTTAGAAAGTTGTCCTTCTGGCATTATTTCAGTTTCTATTATGCTTAAGGTGAAAAGGCAGATTTAACCTTTGAACGGAGGTCTTCATTCATAATAAGGTAACTAGGTTTTAATTCTGTATCAGATTGATGGACAGGTGTTCCCTGGGACATATGTTACATCGTGACTGGGCTTTGGGGGAAAGACTGTCATGGTTACCTGGGGATGTCTGCATGAATGTAAGCGCTGGAGCAGGGGAAGCACCAGGGCAGGGCATCACAGACTCCACTCTTGAGGAAGGTGACTGTTCAGATGCACTAAAATTCAGTGCCTCTGTGGGATGAAGAGGAGACTGATCATAACCTCCTGGCGTTCTCATTGGTTCTGATTTGTAGGCTGGCCACTAAAGAATTAGAGCAACAGCTATTTGGTCATTCCAAAGTATTGGAATTATCTTGGACTTAATCCTTTAAGAAGGCATCTCAGAGACTAAAGAAATGGAAAGACTAAATGAAATTCTCTTCAATTCAGGTTTTCCTTATTTATCTCTGTTACAGGTTACAGAATCAGAGCATGCACCAATCTGAACCACACGTAACAAAGGCAGAAACTACTACAGGATCCTCAAGAAATGATCCAGGGCAAGAATCAAATTTCAGAACCTCAACACAACAGGAAATGAGTTCTAGCGAGCATCCCTCCTCTCCTGGAGGCAGTCCCAGGACAAGCCGGCTTCCAGATGCCCCACTTCATCTGGGGCCTAATAGATCGAGAAGTAAGAAACGTTCAGCTGAGCACAGAGATAGCCCAGATGCCAGTCTGGAGTGGTTTGACTTCATGACAACTCATCACACTGAACCTGAAAATACTGTTGTTGTGTCTCCTGATCCAAAAACAACTGAGGAAAAGATCTCTAGCAACAAATCTCAGGGTGAGGAAAAGAGTGAACCAGGCCAAAGGAGCAAAGTGGAAGCCAGACAGCTTCCGTCACCAAGTGAGACAGACGCTGTGTGGAGGCCAGACAAAGTGGAGGGGCAGAAGGCAAGATGCACAGCACCAGTGTCAGAAGCAGCTGCCCTTGCTGATGGGTCAGACTGGGTGCTGACTCACCACGCCCCTAGGAGACTGCGCACACAGTGCAGGGAGAGGGCCCTGAAACTGTACAGAAACAGCACCAGGGTGCCGTCCCCATCCACAGTGCCCCCTCCTCCTCAGTCCATCCCTGTACACAGCCCTGAAAGAACGCTAGAAACTCCCCAGAGAAAGAGGCCGAAATCCCTTGCTCAAGCTGAACGACCTGAGCTTGAAAGCCTTGAGACTCCAGGTCCCCCTGTGGCCACACTGGCAAAATTTACTTTCAAAAAGAAGTCAAAGCTGATCCACTCCCCTGCAGACCACAGCCATGGGTCTCCTGGCACAACAGAAACAGCAGTTCAGAGTCCTCACACTTCCCTGCGCACAGCAAGAAGAGAAGCAGCTGTGCCTGTGAAGGGCTTAGAGGAGTCCACAGCCCGCTCAGGAGGCAGAGTCTCACATCCTGTACAGGATCAGTCAAAGGAGGTGTCCCAAGAGCCACCGGAGAAAGCTGGGTCTGGAGAGAGGAGGGATGGTGCCCCTGAGAAGAGGGCTACTCCACATGCCTCAGCGCTTGGAGACCAAACTGGGCACACTCACTGTACTGGGGAGGGAGACAAAAAGGGGGAGTTTTCACGCAATTATAAAAGCAGCGGAGTTCATGCTTGCACTTTAGCCAAATTGGCAAACTTCTCCTTTACTTCCTCGTCGGAATCCAAATCGGAATCCTCTCCTCCCCCTGAAGGGAAGAACTGTGGTGAGAGGGGCCCAAGCCCTCCTCCCACACCCGCTGCTCCAGTGGTTGGCAGTAAGAGGAAATCCTTTCAGCTCCAGGGCTCCACTGGGAAACTGATTCTACCCCAAAAATCTCTCTTCACTTTATCAGAGCTAGATGACGAAACATTAGATTTTGATTGGGATGAAGAGATGAGAAAAAAGTCATAATTACAAAAAGATTTTTAGTCAAATTTCACCTTCTGCAACTCAACAGAGCCCCTTCTGGGTCTCAAACGTGCTACTTATAAACGTGCAGAACCACTGCATACTGAGTCCCGTTCTGAATCCCAGCTCCCCATCAGCTTTTCTAGTTTCAGGTTTATCTTCATGACTTAAAAAGTTAAATAATCAGCTTAGGTCAGTGGGTTCCCAGCACTTGAGTTGAATTAATCTTGTTGTAAATGGAGTACTTGTATACCCAAAGATGTTTCTGGTTTTTTAAGGAACAGGGGGGTCTCCCCTACATCCTTCCTTCGTTCACTCAGGAACAAATGCCAGGAAGAGAGCACTCAAAAATGTAACAAGGCGCCAGATGAATATTTATTGTCATTTGGGTGATTTGCCAAAATCATGTGATTTTTTTTCTAATATTATTTTTGTATTTATTTGCATGCATCAGATTAAATGTGAATGTGACTTATGCTTTCCTTTCTTTGAGAGAAGACATTCTTACAGTTTCGTGGTATTCCCAGAGATCTGGCAACTGGTCAAATAGTAGCTTTCTGAAGTACTGACCTTTCAGGTTTTCTTTTCTCTCTTGAGCCCATATTTTGTGCTTCAAGCTTCTTTTTTTTCTCTGAAGGACCTACCTTCAACACAAATCAAGTGGCTGGAAGAGGAGACCATGTGTGTCTCAGTCATACCTCATGTCTCACTTGCCCAGGTGGATAGTATGGAAATATGACTCCTGTGAAGTCATGATTCGTTTGTCTTTAAATCCAAGCAAATTATGTACTGTGTCTGATAGTAATAGATAATGCAAGCTTTGTCTTCCCATGAGCTTTTGAAACCACTTATTCCTTTGGATTCTAGCAAGAATTGTTAGGATTCCATAATTAAGAGATTTTCTTTTCTGAAGTATGATTTCATAAGTTGATTGATAGATTCCTTAATTGTCTGAGGGATTTTGGGACATGAAGAATACTCAAAACAGGGTGGCGCCTGTGGCTCAGTGGGTAGGGCGCCAGCCTCATATACCAAGGATGACAGGTTCAAACCTGGCCCCCAGCCAAACTGCAACAAAAAAATAGCCTGGCATTATGGCGGGCACCAAGCCAGCTACTTGGGAGGCTGAGGCAGGCGAATCGCCTAGGCCCAGGAGTTGGAGGTTGCTGTGAGCTATGTGAAGCCACAGCATTCTACCAAGGGCGATAAAGTGAGACTCTATCTCTACCAAAAAAAAAAAAAAAAAAACCCTCAAAATTATATGTAATTTGGCTAATGCTCACTTCATTAAATTCATTCAAAGAAAACATATTTAGGAAATCCAATTCTTCGTAAACATTTAAACATTAATTCCAAAATTATCTCATTAGATTCTCTGAAAAGTTTTAAACTGTGAGTACAAATGTAGTATGAATGAGTCTTTTAAAGTCTTAAAATATCTTAAACAGCTGGTAAAAAAATACACATAAGCAGCCAGGTGCAGTGGCTTACGCCTGTAATCCCACACTTGGGAGGCCAAGGCCGATGGATTACCTGAGCTCAGGGGTTCAAGACCAGCCTAAGCCAGAGCAAGACCTCATCTCTAAAAATAGCCAGGCATTGTGGCAGGCATCTGTAGTCTCAGCTATTTGGGAGGCTGAGGCAAGAGAATTGCTTCAGCCCAGAAGTTTGAAGTTGCTGTGAGCTATGATGCCATTGTACTCCACCGGGGGTGACAAAGTGAGACTCTTGTTATTTAATAAACTTTGTTGTATTCTATAATTCTTAATTTGATATAGTCCTAATCTTTCAGTTTCATTTTTCTGGGTTTCAGTGCTCTTACTAGAACTAAAGAAAAATGAAAGTATAAAGGTTTTTGAGCAGTTAAATCTTGGTCTGGACGTGGTCTGACTGTGTAGACGAGGGTAATTCAAACCTGAGCCACAATGCGGAGCTGTTTTGCTTTTTTTTTTTTTTTCTCCTCTCTCTCTCTCACTCCCTCCAAATAAGAGTGACCTTTATTTAAGTTCCTTTATTATTAAATTTTGCTTTTGAAACTTGGCATCTTATGTAGTGATGATGTATTAGTTTTTGTATGGCTGATAGTACCTAACCTATTGGCCTGTCATTAGGTTATTTTGATCTGTTCTGTTGTTATTTAAAATATTTATATTCTTTATTGGGACCCTTGATTCTAGAAGTTTCATTTCTTAATAATGGGGGATTTAATTTTTGTAATTAATGTGTCTCTTGAAGGTGTTAAGTAATTCATATTTTCAAACGCAGTGCTGAATTGTCTCTTCTCCTTGGGTTTTGTATATGACTGCCTACGCCACCTCCTACCTGGTTATTATTTGTGCCTACCATGTGTCGCATTATTTGTACTAATTAAATCATCCTATATTTTATTTAGTACCTTCTGCCAAGATCATTTCGTCAAAAGTATAAGATCCATATATATGTGGTTTTTCTTTGGTGCTTACTCAGATAGGAATAATTACATATCTAAATATTATAAACAGGCTGGGCATGGTGACTCATGCCTATAATCCTAGCACTTTGGGAGGCAAGGCAGGAGGATCCCTTGAGGCCAGGAGATCAAGGCTACAGTGAGCTGTGATCATGCCACTGCACTCCAGCCTGGGCAACACAGCGAGACCCCCATCTCAAATATAAAATATAAGTAAATAAATATTATAAACAGACATTAGAAGAAGTTAAATACTCTATACAGGTTGAATACCCCTTACCTGAAATGGTTGGGACCTTTGGGATTTAAATTTTTTTGGATTTTGAAATATTTGCATTATACGTAGACTTACGGATTGGTCATCCCAGATCCAAAATCCCAAATCCAAAACATTGCAATGACCCTTTCCTGTGAGCATCGTGCTCATGTTGGCAGTCAGAAAGTTTTGGATTTTGGATTTTTGTTTTAGGGATGCTTAACCTGCATAAACACTCCCCTACTTAATTAAAAATTCTGTCACAACCTGTTTTGTGTGATGATCACCTCACTGTGCTTGTATTTAATGCTCCAAGTTTCATGGCTGGGTCAATGAGAAGTCCCTTCGTGTTGAGTCTAATGTCCTTTTAGCGTCTTTTTTTTTTTTTTTTTAAGCACTCTGATATTTTTTGCCGTTTTTGGCCGGGGCTGGGTTTGAACCCGCCACCTCCGGCATATGGGACCGGCGCCTTACTCCTTTGAGCCACAGGCACCACCCCACACTCTGATACTTTTAAAAGCATCCATGCTATCTAAAAACAACAGGATGTTCCAGACGCATTTTGGTTTTTTCCTGCCCCATGTCATAGAATCAGCTATACCCAAGATACCGTTTAGAAGTCAACAGTTCTGGAGATCAAACCCTGGGTCACTAGAGGGCAAATGTTCTACCAGTGCTGTTGGGTCATTTTTAGTTATTTCAGAGCTAGAAAATGTTTTATGTCCTGTGGTCCCATTTTGTCTTGCTATATCCTTGTTTTCTTACAGCTTGGGATTTTATGACAACTAAACCTTTCTCGCATGTGGTTTTTAATATGTGTATCAAAGAAGGATTTAGGTATCTTGTGGGAAATATGTGTAGTTTGAAAGATCACATGTCTGCTCAGTAAACTATAAAAAATAACCTTTAATTCAGAATCAACTTGCCAAAATATTTTTATTTCAGACCAGTGGGCTCCTTGAAAACACTTAAGAAATGTAAAATTAAACACAATAAAAGCCATACTTAATTTTCATTGTGAGAAGACCAAACCAGAATTTAAATGCTGTTATAATCATAAAACATGGAATTTTCTGACTATAAAAGATTATTACTCTTCAGTGTATATGTGTGTGGTATTCTAAAAGTTACAATAAGAAGGATTCTATTGTAATTCTGGTGGTGTCTTACAGAAAAACAGGCAAAAATGAGTGCACATTGTTCTGATATCTTTAACTCTGGCTTAATCCAACCGAATTTTAACTTTTTTTTTTTTTAAAGATTATTCTTGGCTGACAAGTTGAAATTCTAACAAACCTACATATTCTTCACCTGCACTTGATTTCTGTCCCTCTCCCAAGTGCTGACCCTCCTGCTTCACTGCGGGATACTAGAGAAAATCTTCAGTCACCCACGAGGAGGAGCCCTACAGCTCTCCTTTAGCCAATGCACAACATTTGAGAGTTCAGAACCAACATACTTTGGAAGTCATTGTCACGGGTGCTGAGACCTGTCCCACGCCTATCCACCTCACAGCGTGGGTCTGCGCGTACTCCTCGGTGTTCAGAACATCATCCTCGGAGCCTGCTTTCCATGTTACTTTCTCTGTTGCAGAGAAAAGGCTCCTGGCTTACATTCAGTTGTCCCACCGCGCATGTAGCACAGTCCCCCCAGCATGGGGAGCCATTACTCACACATCCTCTTCACTGTTACTCAGGATATGCCCCTTACGACACACTCTTCAGTTCTTATCAGTTCCACTGTCAGCTCTCTTCCTTTTAAAGCAGTGGTTCTCAACCTTTCTAATGCCACAACCCTTTAATACAGTTCCTGTGGGTTGTGACCCCCAGGTTGAGAACCGCTGTTTTAAAGGCTTCAAAATGCAGGTAGGTGTGATATGTGTACAAGTGAACTTGATATATGTTAAACTTCACTTAACAAAATTGTTGATGTCTCCATGTAAATAATTTGCTGAGAGAAAAAGTTCAGGAAGGAAATGAAATATGCACATTGGGCCAAATATCAACAAGGAATAGGGAGTCGTTTATAAATCTTAAGAATGCCAGTTGATCTTTGTACGTGGTTGGAATCTTAGTGCCTTGGCAGAGTTGAACTGCCAGAAAGTAAGCAATTGTATCAAGTGTGTTTTTATTTTTATTTATTTTTATTTTTTGAGACAGAGTCTCACTTTGTCACCGTTGGTAGAGTGCGGGTCTTGCTCTTGCTCAGGCTGATTTTGAACCTGTGAGCTCAGGCAATCCACCTACCTCGGCCTCCCAGAGTGGTAGGATTACAAGCATGAGCCACGGTGCCCAGCCCTCAAGAGTGTTTTTAATGTGGGACCAAACTTGGTTCAACTTAAGGCTTTCTTCATGAACAAAACCAGGGTGCAAATGCTGCTTGATATTTGAGATCTAATTTTTTTCATTGCCCACTGATGCACCAAGGAGACAAGGTAGTGGGGCAAAATTGAGACTCCCCCAGGTGAATCGGGTTCTGGCACCAGCCAGCGGTGTGGCTGCTCTGTCGTAGTGGTCTTGACCGTGAAAGCAGAGGACCAGACATTTCTGCTCTGTATTGTTGAGTTACAAAAAAGGAACACTTTGGAGCCTGCCTGAAATACAAGAAGTTGGCTGTAAGGATACAGTGGGCAGTCTCACTGAGGACAGGAAACAAAGCCAAACCAGGCTGTGTGCCCTCGAACTGGAAAGTCAGGACGGAAGCTACTCAGCCCCTCCAGGGTCCACAAGCTCCCTTGCCGCTGCATCTCTCAAGGAGGGTGCCCCGGTTTCCTGCCCCTCTCAGCACCCTGCTTCTGTGCTCACCAAGGCTTGTCACATGCCTTACAGCTTTTCGTCTGCTTGGGGGCCCGAGTCTGTGACCTCCTCTGACCTTTCTAGGTGATGTACCCACCTCATCTTACTGGCTTCGGTTCTGTGCCTTTTATTTCA